ATTATTTGGAAAAGTGGCAGAAGGTGGATTTTTCTGATGAATCATCTGTTGAGCTGCATCACAATCATCACAAATACTGCAGAAGACCTACTGGAACCCGCATGGACCCAAGATACTCACAGAAATCAGTCAAGTTTGGTGAAGGAAAAGTCATGGTTTGGGGTTTCATTCAGTATGTGGGCGTGCGAGAGATCTGCAGAGTGGATGGCAACATCAACAGCCTGAGGTGTCAAGACATTTGTGCTGCCCATTACATTACAAACCACAGGAGAGGGCAGATTCTCCAGCAGGATAGCGCTCCTTCTCATACTTCAGCCTCCGCATCAATGCTCCTGAAAGCAAAGAAAGTCAAGGTGCTTCAGGATTGGCCAGCCCAGTCACCAGACATGAACATTATTGAGCATGTCTGGGGTAAGTTGGAGGAGGCTTTGAAGATAAATCCAAAGGATCGTGATGATTTCTAGGAGTCTAGGAACGCTTTCTTTGTCATTTCAGATGACTTTATTAATCAGTGATTTGAGTCATGACTCTTGTCTAAGCAAAGTCAGACCTTACTGTCCTAATTAAATAATTAAAAATCAAGCCATGATCATATTTTATTGTGGTAAAATAAGCCTTATCTAGAGGCCCTTGCCTTTCATAAAAGCCACTTCTGATATCAAATGATCAGCTACGAGTCAAGTTATTATTTGTTGTTCCTAAAACTTAGGCGACAAGACTTTTGTCAGGGAGTGTATATAGAATAATGACATAATAGCATGATATCATTCATTCCTGACTCAATGTTCAGGTTAACTTTCTTCATCTGAAAAACAGAAATGTTCTGCAAAATACGTGTGTTTTGTTACTCTGCTTCTCTGAATTAATTAATCAAGAGCTGTTGGTTTTATTTGCAGTATTGAAGGCAAGTACATTATAAGTAACTGTAACTGGTTGACATAAATGAAAAGTAATCCCTTTGCAGAGAAGTGATCTCATTTCTCTAACTGCTTACTTTGTAACTAATTACACCCAACACTGGATATAATACACCCTGTAATGTACATGCACAGTTATGGGATTAGGGTAATACAAATACAGTTTATGATGCAGTGCTAGGTTTACCTTTTTTGATTAAAAATATATGTATTTATACAGTGGCATGCTGCTAGACTGCTAATAATATAAACTGAAAGACCAAAATCTTTTAAATATTCTCTCCACACACCATATGTATGGGGTGTGAAGCAGATATGGTGGTTTAACTGCTTGTAAATCCTGGAAAATCCCAATTTAACACGTTTAATAGACAAGCAGGGTCAATCGCTGACCTGTGACATCATGAAGGTTATAAAAAGGCTTGATTTTACCACACCGCTTCTCTTTTGAGACTCTGAATCACATGTGGTTTGAAAGCTTTTACCTTGTTATAAATTTCAGTCTAAATAAGCATGAAAGTTTGATGGGTCACACTTTACAATGAGGTTTCATTAGTTCATGTATTTACTAAAATGAACTAATAATAAGGTGTTGCACGGTGGCGCAGTGGTTAGCACTGTCGCATCAGAGCAATAAGGTCGCTGGTTTGAGTCCCAGCTTGGTCAGCTGGCGTTTCTGTGTGGAGTTTGCATGTTCTCCCTGTATTTGCATGGGTTTCCTCTGGGTGCTCCGGTTTCCCCCACAAAGTCCAAAGACATACGGGTATAGGTTTACTGAATAAACGAAATTAGCTGTAGTGTGTATGGATGTTTCCCAGTACTGGGTTGCAGCTGGAAGGGCATCCGCTGTGTAAATCATATGCTAGATAAGTTGGTGGTTCATTCCGCTGTGGTGACCCCTAATAAATAAGGGACCAAGCCGAAGGAAAATAATGAATGAATGTCACTAAAATGCGGTATTTTAGCATTTCAAAAGGTTTAATCCGGATAAAATTGATCTGGATTTAGTAATCCTTTTTTGGATCCGTGATCACGTAATCCTGTTTACTTTTTGAGCCAGTTTTTTAAAGCAACATCGGATTGGATCAATTTGATCCGGATTGGAACTTTTCAGGATCACTAAATCTGTATAACCACTGCTCAAACAGGATAGGACATCACAATGTAGAACTATAGATATGTAAAGAGCAACAAGTAGAATAGCCAGTGTGGGGTCAATATACAGTTGAAGTCAGAATTATTCGCCCCCTTTGAATTTGTTTTTCTTTTTTAAATATTTCCCAAAAGTTGTTTAACAGAGCCAGGACATTTTCACAGTATGTCTAATAATATTTTTACTTCTTGAGAAAGTCTTATTTGTGTTATTACAGATAGAAAAAAAGCAGTTTTTAATTAAAAAAAAAAACCATTTTAGGGACAATATTATTAGCCCCTTTAAGCTATATATTTTTTGCAAGTCTACAGAACAAACCATCGTTGTACAATAACTTGCCTAATTATCCTTACCTGCCTAGTTAACTTAATTAACCTAGTAAAGCCTTTAAATGTCACTTTAAGCTGTATAGAAGTGTCTTGAAAAATATTTAGTTGAGTTATTAAAACTATTATGTTTAGAAATGTGTTGAAAAAAAATCTACCTTTTAAACAGAAATTGGGGGAAAAATAAACAGAAGGCCAAAAATTCAGGGGGGCTAACAATTCTGACTTCAACTGTAACTTCAATATAAATTTGTATTTGAAATTTTTATTTTAAAAACACACACATTTAAAAAAAGTCTTCTTCCAGCAGTCCGCTCATTTGAGACCTACAACACAAACACTCACTGTACATTTAGGATATTTATAACAAGCTTCAAATAAAGATGTTTTGAATTTAAAAAAAAAAAGACTTGATGTCATAAATTCCAGAATAATTTCAGATTTCCTCATCTGATGTGGAAAGACCAGCTAATCTGAGTGTAGCCTTTAGGCGGCGGATCTCAAGTCTGGCCTTGTTTGCTGCAGTTTGGTCAGAGTCTGTTGTTCTTCTGCCAGATGAAGCTGTGCATCTGCCCTTTCATTTTCTTTTTGCAATTGTTGAAAGTGATTTTAAAAATCAGTGATTGCCATTTTATTTTTATTTTTTTGGTTATTCTGTAATCATTGCATGCATCACTAATAATTATTCTAAAAACACAAACATTTTTTTATTGTGATGAATATGTATCAATTAGTAACAGAATGAAATGTATTGATTTTGGTCAATTTTGACAGCTGTTAGGGGGATTATTTCATGAGGTCAAACTCTTTCTACTTTACTGTAAGCCTACCTAATCACTGTAGCCTGACGGATGAACAAATATAATTAAAATAAGATATTCTGTAAGATACTGCATGATCCAAATGTAGTATTATTTGACACATTTTAAAGTTTTCATTACATTTTGGGCATGAAATCCATGCTAAATCCACCCTTTTGATAGGATCAGTTTAATCCAGATTTTTTGGATCAAAGTGATCAAAATCCTACAAAAAAAATCTGAAAAACCCAAAATAAAGGTTTGATCTGAATCAAAACCGGACTATGTGATCAAATTCAATTGTGTAATTTTTTTTTTTCTTTAAAAAAAAGACATTTTTAAGATTTGATCCAATTTGTTATTCAAAAACCTATAACTTTTAAAAAACCGGGCCCTGATAAATAAAAGGACTAAGCCGAAGGAAAATGAATGAATGAATGCATACTCGCGTCAAATCAATCTACACTGACAGACATGGTAAGTGTAAAATAGTTGTTTGTCTAAGTCTAAAGTCTAAAGTCAAATTTGATGCATAGTTTGTACAGTTTGACATACAGTAACCTCTGAAATAGCTAATCACAGGATACTGTAGGTTATAATCAGGGCCAGACGGAGGTTTTTTTTGCTATTTCTGCTGAGAATGTTTTTAAAAATCTGCGGATGGGAGTTTTATAACTAAAACCTTAATATGTGAAATACAAAGTAATACCTTTCTAACTTTTATTTAAAGTTGAAATTGCCAATCCAATTAGATGCACTTTATTTGGTAAACAAAACAAGTCTCTTATCTAATATATCTACTAAAAGACAGAAAATATTAGTGTATAAACTGCATTGTACATAAATCAGATGCGCCTTTTCATATCAGTCAGTAATATTCCTGTAATTAATAAAAAAATCTAAATAAATATAGATTTACACACATTTACTCAAGTAAATAAGCAGAATTAATGATGGGCTAGAAATCTGCAGAATTCTGCCCGCACAGATTCCGTGTGGGCCTAGTTACAATATAAAAAAACACTAAAAACTTAAATATGTTTACTTAATAATATAGATGTAATTTAAATAAACACACTTGATTGACTGTATTACTTAAACAAAAAAGTTGACCCCTGATCGTCAATGTCTAATTTGCATCATGCTAGTAAGTTTACTGTTGTAGAGATGTGGGATTTTTTTAAAGGAGTTATTCAATATACTTTCATGAAATGCTAGAAGTGTCCGAAGTGTTGGTGAACTGACCTGCAGTCAGCAGACCTGCTCTCTGTTCTCTACAGCAGTTGTTCCCAAAGTGGGGGTCGGGACCCCCCTAGGGGTCGCGGTATAATGAAGAGGGATCGCCTGGTGATTTCCAAAAATCTATTTATTTTCAATTAACCACTAGAATTACCATTTTTTACTGAAGGGAAAAAAATAGTTGTTTCTAGTTGCATGCAATATTGTTACTATAGTAGCTTATAGTTACTAGTTCTATTGGATTGCGACCCCTGGGTTAATTACATAATATTAAAGACATAGCAATAGCGTCAGATGCAGCAGATTGATTTTATGGCACCAGGTTAAACTTTCTGGCCCATTTACAGCACTGACATACATTAAATAAAATAAACGAAGAATAGAATTGGGTCTATTGGAGTGTGTGCGCCATTGCATGCAAGGTTTCTGTATTTATAACCACCTCAGAGGATATTGGGGGTCACGAGTCACTGTCATTGTCATTTTTGGGGTCGCAGGCTGAAAAGATTGGGAACCCCTGCTCTACAGTTCCGCACAGAAGCACCCTCTGCCGGTCACTGTTAGAACAGCAGCGGTCGAGAGGGGGCGGATGACACGGAGAAACAGAGGAAGGGGGAGAGAAAGAAAGAAAAGAGCCTGTGCGTGTTTTCGCAGGCGGAGTTTCGTTCTTGCGCACCGTTGGAATTCACTGTCTGTATTTTTTTCCTCGGGGTTTGCTTGGAGGAGACCGAAGGAGCGAGAAAGCGCCGCCAGCGAGCAGATGTTCTAGCTGGACTATCCCTGTTTCCAGCCTGACAATCGAGCCTATCATCTGGTAAAATGTGGCAGCCCGCGTCGGAGCGATTGCAGGTAAGACTGCCCGTCTAATTACTGCAAGAAACCCTTTTTTTGTCTGATGTCTGTTGTTCATTTTGGAGCTACAGTGTGCAGGCCAGCCAGCGGGTACACGAGCTACCCATCCAGCAAACCTGCTCATCATCCAGCTTTCATTTATTTGTTTATTTCCCTGATAAAACGCTGTCCTGGCGTTTGCATGGCTCCTCAACTTTGTGTCGCGTCTCTTGGCTGGAGCTCTGAGTGTCTGGACTGCAGCTGGTCGCAAAACAGACCTGAAGTTTTACAATTTCTCCAGAGCATATCGTGCTTTTCCAGACCCAATGCCATTTCACACCGTTGCTGTGTCTGTCTGCAGTCTCTGAAATGGCTGGAGCCACTTTTAGTTGAGCTGGAACTTGCTGTTCTTCAGGCCTTGATGTGGTTCCTCTTACTAGCTGTACCTAGTTACTAGTACCAGGGGGTCTCGAGATCATGGAAGACCTGAAAATATCAATGAGTTAGTGATTTTACAGCTCTGGAAAAAAGTCAGAAATTATTCAACCATGTGTGAGTCATAATTTTTCTACAGGTCTTTGTGAAAATTGAGTTAAAGTTGGTTTTATATTTTCACATTCAGACTTTCACTTTAGTAATATAATTTTTTAGGAAACTATTATTTGCAAACTCGTGAAATCATATTAGCAGCCAATGACTATCAAAGTACAACATTGTTCACAGCTAATTAAACAGTGCTAATATTGTTCTTAAGTCATGTTTACACGAGATTTCAGACCAAATGTCGAAAGTACCGTGGTAAACAATATAGGAAGCTTGTCACAAGTTGTAACTAAACGAATGTGCAAATATAAAACCAACTTTACTTTAATCAAGTACCAGGGGTCTCGAGATCATGGAAGACCTGAACATATCAATGAGTTATTGATTTTCCAGCTCTGGAAAAAAAGCAGAAATTATTTAAACACTCGAGTCATTACTCTTCCAATATCTTAGTGAAAAGCCAAAGCTAGTTTTTGGTTAAAACAGCTCTACCAGTGCTGACAAAATGTAGTTAAAGTTGGTTTTATATTCGCACATTCTGACATTCTTCTTAATAATATCATTCTTAAAAATTATTATTTGCAAACTCTTAATAGTGAAATCAATTTAGCAGCCGATGACTATCACAGTACAACATTGTTTACAGTCGTTTAAACGGTGCTAATGTTTTTTTCAAAGTCACATTTATAAAAGATTTCAGAGCTTATATTGAACGTGCCGCGGTAAAAATATAGGGAGCATGTCACAAGTTGTAACTGAACAAATGTGTGAATATAAAACCAACTCTACTTCAATCGAGGGGTCTTGAGATCATGGAAGACCTCAAAATATCAATGAGTTACTGATTTCCCAGCTCTGGAAAGAGTCAGAAATTATTCAACTGTGTGAGTCATGATCCTTCTACAGGTCTTAGTGAAAGTTGAGGTATAGTTGGTTTTATATTCAGACTTTCTCCCTAATAATATTCTTTGCAAGCTCTTAATAGTGAAATCATATTAGAAGCCGATGGCTATCAAAGTACAGCATTGTTCACAGTCGATTGAACAGTGCTAATGTTTCTTTTCCAAGTCATATTTACAAAAGATTTCAGACCAAATATTTAAAATACCATGGTAAACAAAACAGCAAGCATGTCACAAGTTGTAACTGAACGAATTTGCGAATATAAAACCAACTTCAATCGAGTACCAGGGGTTTGAGATCATGGAAGACCTGAAAATATCGATGAGTTACTGATTTTCCAGCTCTGGAGAGAGTCAGAAATTATTCAACTGTCATGATCTTTCTACAGGTCTTAGTGAAAGTTGAGGTATAGTTGGTTTTATATTCGGACTTTCTCACTAATAATGTTCTTTGCAAGCTCTTAATAGTGAAATCATATTAGCAGCCGATGGCTATCAAAGTACAGCATTGTTCACAGTCGATTGAACAGTGCTAATGTTTCTTTTCCAAGTCATATTTACAAAAGATTTCAGACCAAATATTTAAAATACCGTGGTAAACAAAACAGCAAGCATGTCACAAGTTGTAACTGAACGAATTTGCGAATATAAAACCAACTTCAATCGAGTACCAGGGGTTTGAGATCATGGAAGACCTGAAAATATCGATGAGTTACTGATTTTCCAGCTCTGGAAAAAAGTCAGAAATTATTCAAACATGTGAGTCATGATCTTTCTACAGGTCTTAGTAAAAACTGAGGTAAAGTTGGTTTTATATTCGCACATTCTGACTTTCTTCTTAATAATATCATTTCAGAAAACTATTATTTACAATTTTTTTATAGTGAAATCATATTAGCAGCCAATGACTATCAAAGTACAACATTGTTCACAGCTAATTAAACAGTGCTAATATTGTTTTCAAGTCAAATTTACATGATATTTCAATCTAAATATTGAAAGTGCTGTGGTAAACAATATAGGAATTGTGTCACAAGTTGTAACCGAATGAATGTGCAAATATAATACCAACTTTACTTCAATCTAATACCAGTGGTCTCGAGATCATGCAAGACCTGAAAATATCAATGAGTTAGTGATTTTCCAGCTCTGGAAAAAAAAGTCAGAAATTATTCAAGCATGTGTGAGTCATGATCTTTCTACAAGTCTTAGTGATAATTGAGGTAAAGTTGGTTCTATTCGCACATTCTGACTTTCTCCTTAATAAAATCATTTCAGAAAACTATCACTTACAAACTCTTAATAGTGAAATCACATTAGCAGCCAATGACGATCAAACTACACCATTGTTTGCAGTTGATTAAACAGTGCTTGTTTTGAAGTCATACTTACGGGCTATTTTACACTGAATATTTAAAATAACTTGGTAAACTGTTTAGGTACCGAAGTTTTAACTAAATGATTGTGCAAATATAAAACCAGCTTTACTTTAATCTAGTACCAGGGGTCTCGAGATCAAGGAAGACCTGACAATATTGCTTATTTAGTCATTTTCCAGCTCTGGAAATAACTCAGAAATTATTCAAACGTGAGAGTCATTACTCTTCTACTGGTCTTAGTTTAAAGCCCAAGCTGGTTTTTGGTTTAAGCGGATCTACCAGTGCTGAAAAGATTTAGGTAAAGTTGTAAAGACGTTCGTCTTAATAATCCGATTTCAGAAAAGAATTCTTTGCAAACTATAAATAATAACATCATATTAGCAGCCAATGACTATCAACATTGTTTACAGTCAAATAAATAGTGCTAATGTTGTTTTGAGTGTATACTTGCGTGCCATTTCAGACTGAGTATTCAAAATACCATATAGAGATCGTGTCGCATGTTTTAACTGAACGAATGTGCAAATATAAAACCAACTGTACCTCAATTTAGTGAAAAGCCAAAGCTGTTTTTTGCTTTAGACAGATCTTCCAGTTCTGAAAAGTCCTCCAAAACCAGTATATGTAGTTTAGGCTTTTTAAAAAGTGTAGTTAAAACCCGTTGTCTTTTGGAGCTAGTCATTAGCAGCAAAAACTAAAAGAATCTAGTGACCAGCAGCCTGTGCTAGTGCTCAGGATGGTCTTTGAAGTAAATGACTGGTTGGCCAGTGTGAACTAGCTAATTACAAGCTTGTACCAGTCAGAAACTTACTGTAAACTGAGTTTTCTTGTAGACGTTGATCGTTGTGAAGTATCACATAAATGGTTTCTTTGAAATTGGTAGAAAATAATAGGAATTCAAAGGTGTAAAATAGATTGTGTAAAAGTCCCTGCTGAAAGCTTGAACTGGTTAGTTTTTGCTGGTATAAGCTGCTTTTCCAGTATGGGCGTTTTAAGTTTGTTCTCATCCTGTCTTTTTCATTTTTTATTTTAAAAAAGTGCACAAAAGCCATCTGAAACCATCAAATAAACAATGTTTGGGTTTTCCCCATAAGAAAATAATCCAGTTTAAGCTGCATGTTGTGTTTTGGAATATAGTAGCTGGTTTATAGCTGGTCATTAAGAGGGAAATCCTAGCTACCAGCTGGCCTTACCATTGGTCAAGATGGTCTTTTGATCTGTGCTGAGTGCTTGGCCAGTTTGAGCTAGTAAATGGGCACTTTGTACCAGCAGGAAACCGGCTTAAACTGATTTTCTTGCATATGTTAATCAGCAAATCACACTAAGGCTTTAAAAGTCAAGACAAAGGCTTTGAAATTAGTTGAAGGTGTGGGAATTCTGAGGTGCAAAATGGACCTTTGTCATAGAAAGTCAATTACAAATTTGCTACTGAAAAGCCTAACTATGTTGTCTACTTGATGATAAGTTCTGAAAAGTCCACTAAAACCAGCAAAATAGTTCTAAACAGTTCTCAAAGTGAGCTTTAAAATATTTATTCAACTACCCACACATTAAAAAGCACATTAAAGTCCATTAAAAGAAACAGAAATTTAAATTTAAAGTATTTCACAAATTTCAGAAAAGGATTCTTTGCAATTTCTAAATAGTGAAGTCATATCAGCAGCCAATGACTATCAAAGTACAACATTGTTCACAGTCCAATAAATAGCGGTTTGTTGTTTTGAAATTATGCTTAAATGCAATTACAGACCAAATACATAAGTTATAAAGTGTGTAGATGTACAGATTTCATGATGAAAAGTCTACTTTTATCCTATTTAAGATGGTCTCCTGGGCCCAATTTAAAAAAAAAAATTTAATCCAAATCAATTTGGTACAGATTTGGAAATCCCACGTTTTGATATGTAAGATTAACTGATCTATCTTACTTTCATGACTGTTTTATCACTGTAATCCAAATGCCAATTTTCAGGTTTATCAAATCCAGTTTACCAGAGCCTTAAATGGGACCAACAGTAGGCACAGGCTGGTATAAGATTCTGACAGCATGACAACCTTGGATAAA